ACTTCACCACTGTTGGTGTAATAGCTTCCTTGGAAGCAGCAACTGTTTATCTACGATTAACATTTTACTAACTGCATTTTTTTAATTCCGAAATGTTTTATATTCGAAAAAAGTATTGAATGAGACTGTTTTTGGTTTACCGAATCGGATGGAGGTCCATCAAAGTATTCCCGTCAATACAAATGTATAGAAAAGGGAGTGTGGTGCTGGTTCCTGGTTTTTGTCATGCATAAATCGGATGTCCGGAAATCGACACATGCGCAGAACTCTCTGCTGAAAAACAGAAACTAAACAGACGAATTTATATTGTGTGCAAGCTTAATCCATTGCCATCATAATCGCTGACTGTGGAAATATTGTTGTATTTAGGGACCAACCATTTAAATTCAAGGGGGGTGGGTATTGTTTTATGTTTGAATCAGAAAAACATTTTATTTAGATTTCAACGCTATCAATCAAATGTTTTGTTCAACATTTAACACTATAAGGTATGGATTCTGGATTCTGCAATTTTTTTTTGTCCTCCACTTGAACAGAATACTAAATTGCATCAATGTGGTAATCAGAATATTGTTTGTTTGTTGCTTAACGTCCAGTGGCAAATATGTCATGCATGTTCAGGACGAGAACAAGTTAACAATAAATACAATAGATAGGTCTTGTAATAGAGGGCATCCGGGATGAAGGTCGGGAAGATTTGGACTGCCACTGGAAAATGAGGGTATATTGGATAGGGACCGAAATTTTGCCTTGCAACAGGCCACGTACGGACCCCTCAAAGAGTTGATGCAAGGGTTCTTAACGTGTAGAGAGCGTGGCACTCTCTACACGAGGCATCGGATTTAACGTCCCCATTCAGACCGGACGTGGCGGCAAAAAATACACTCAAAGCTGATCAGGAACCAGACGACAACACACGTCCTAGTGGCAAGCGCAGAACATACCACAGTTATATAATTACGATGTATCACTACTATAAGCAACAGAATCAAACCAATATAAAATCATAGGTGTAGAACAATATTCTCCTAGACAAGCATATAAAACAATACAAACTAGTAGATGAAAATTTCATAAATGTCAAATAGGTAAATAAAAATAGTTTGTCGTTGTTAGTACTTAAGTAAATAATTTTGTCATTGCTAGTACTGAAGATTTTGTCGTTGCTAGTTTTCAAGCAAATATTCTTGTAGTTGCTAGTAGACTGAAGTAAATGTGAATTTAGTCCTATTACACATTTGCCATAACTCCATAGTTTGGCGATAATAAATTAAAAATTAAAACGTAATCCATCACAATAAAAACAAAATACTTTCTTTCAGTAAAAGTAACAAATGCTTCGCAAGACTGCCGAGTAGTCATCAAGAGAGTTGCTGATTTATTTTGGTTCTTGATTCGAAATAATTAATTCAGAATTAGATAACGACAGAGCTTAGTTTATACACTTATAATGAAAATAATGAAAAGAAAATTAGAGGTTAGCGGTCAAAATTGATATTGTTACTTCATAGAGAATACTCTAGGATTCCGAATATCTGACAAAAAGTCTTCTCCGAACTTAATCCCGGACGCCTCTATTACAGAACCGACCTATTGTATTTATTGTTAATTTGTTTTCGCCCTGAATATGCATGAAATATTTGACACTGGACTTTTTTTGTTTAGTTTTAACGATAACAAATATTTTTATTCAATTTCCTGATACCTAAGTAGCCCAGGTCGCATACTTGGGGACCCCTGTATTTATACAGCCTCACTTGACCAGGGAAAAAATCAAATGAGTTTAAACTGACAATAGTTTTACATACTTATATTTAAATAACCAATACATATGATTTTACCTGATTAGCATCACTGTAATACATAATCATTATCGTATATTCAGTTCACTGACTAACATCTGTTGATTTAAACTTGAAAACTATATATTTGATTGAGAAAAATGAAAATTTGCATTTGAAATTATTAAAGTGATTGAACAAAAATTGAAATAACACTGGACGTTAAGCAACCGTCAATCATTCAATCATTCTGACAAAAGTCAAAAACATGAGTAGCTAAGATCCATAATAGCTTATATATGACTTGAGGCTTATAGTAAGTTGATGATACTAACAAATATATAGTAACTCTCAGCAACTCTGAGTAGTAGTAGAATAGGGATAAGAAAACAGTAGAGCAGGTAGAGCAGCTTATGTAAATATTGTGCTAGTGATGGTGGAATGTTTGTGTCCACGTGTGATACTTTTGACCAAGGTAGAGCAACATTGGTTGGTAACCAGGTTATGTTTGTCGTCCATTTTGTTTCCACGTTGCAAGGTAGAGCAACATTGGTCGGTAACCAGGGGTATGTTTGTCGTCCATTTTTGTTTCCACGTTGCTGACTTTTTCAAGGTAGAGCAACATTGGTTGGTAACCAGGGTACGTTTGAGATGACGTCCATGTTGTCCACGTTGTAGAATTTTGTGTTGTTTTTTGCTTGTCTAAATTGTTATTTGCTTGGAGTTAGTCAATATGTGAGAGAGATGGTTGTTGGTAAGGGGTGGCATTCATTTTCTTTCCACAACACACAAACTACAGAAACTTGAGAAGAGATAAAACAAAGATTGAAGAAAATAAATTATTTTTATTATCAAAAACTTATATACATTATGTATACATCACATTTTGTGTAGATCACCATTATTGCAAAAACTGATTGAGTATTTTTAGCATAAAAAATAAATATTACAATACTATGTATAGTATATAAAAACTTGTATTAAAACCGATATTTGAGCATACAACCCTGAGTTTGTTTCTAATATATATAAAATTTAATAAAGCTTCTAAAACAAATGTTTTTTTTTTTTAACAAGAATGGATTTCTAAAAAGAGACATGTAAAAGATTACATATAGTAATATGATTAACTAGATGATTCTAGTTTTTAAAAATGACTACAATATAAAAAGTAACTTGATGGAATGTGATAGAAGATAAATTATGTTATAAAATAAAAATATAACCCACATGGTTTCCACGTTTAAAATGAAAACACGCATGAAGCAAAAATTAAAAGATGGAATGTTGCACTAAAGTAACAAAATATAGATAAAATATATACAGGTATCATGGTTTGATTAACAACCGTAAATGCTTATTTTTTCAATGTAAGAATACACAGCACCAAAACTTTAGTAAAAATGTAGTGTACTACTCTCTTTATAAAACTTGTCTTTATAGGGGAATCTGGCGGAATGCATAGCACCATAAAACAGTTAGCACCAAAACTATAGTATAAGCACTACTTTTTTTTTTTATAAAACTTGTCTTTATAGAGTATATTTTCCTCTCTTAAACTATCATTGTAAATGAATATATTAAATATATATAACAGCATGTTATCAGGAGTACAACTATCATGATTTGAAATATGAACTTTAATGATTATCACAATTATTTAGCACCAACTTTAAAACAATTAACATTTAATAAATTATCACAACTATATTGCTTAATAACAAGAAAAACAAAGACTATATAAAATTGAGAATGGAAATGGGGAATGTGTCAAAGAGACAACAACCCGACCATAGAACAGACAACAGCAGAAGGTCACCAACAGGTCTTCAATGCAGCGAGAAATTCCCGCACCCGGAGGCGTCCTTCAGCTGGCCCCTAAACAAATATATATACTAGTTCAGTGATAATGAACGCCATACTAAACTCCAAATTGTACACAAGATACATGTTTTATATTACAGTATAAACATTTCATATACTACTAAGGTCTGTCTAATGTTCCCCATCAACCTCTATAGCATTTTTGATATTTTTACATTATTTTTAAGACCAAATAAACGTTATCTTTTAATCTGATAGATCATATCAGATAATTCCTCTGATGTAAAGCTTCATAAATATTTTGATTTTCTTCCTTTAGAAGTTATCATACTGTATAATTACTAAATATTTTTAATTACAATCAAGCCTCAAGCTAAATAACTGTTGATAGATAAACATGTATAACAATCTTTAAATGTAGAGTATAGGAAATTGTCTTAATTGCAATCAAGTTTCAAAACTAATTAACTGTTAATGGAGAACATCAGACAGATAAACATATATTATTTCTAATTTGAGTTAAACTTCTTCTTAACATAACAAAACAGACTTGTGTAAACATATATACAAAACTTCTAGATATGTATAATATAAACAACACCCTTTAAAGTAACATCATTTCAAAAATCTGACTTATTCCCTATTTTCATCATAAAAATAAATTTAAAGAGAGAAATTAAGCGAAAAATGTATCAATTTATCCATAATTTATAATCATGTCAAACACAGGATGTTGAGTCTTTCTTATGTATGGAAAATTATCACTCTCCTTTGTTAAAACCTTCAATAATAAAAAAAAAGCCCCCCTCAATAAACTTCTTAAGATAATATAGCATAGAAATGCTAATGTCTCCTTTGTTATCACAATGGATGCTTAGTCATATATAAATTAATCCTAAAATGGCATCTCAGTTAAGTCTAAATGAATTAAATTTATCAACCCAACTTTATTTAATGAATCTTATCATAACCAAGAGAGAAGAATAAGTCCTTTAATATTTAGGAAAAATGTTATACTTTCATTCTATTTAGAAAACTTTATGATGGATCATCGTGCTTCAATCAGTAACTTTCTTTCTCAATTGACTAATTTTGTATCTCAACATATACCAGTAGTGGGGAGTCATTTTTTCCCATGTTATAAGTGTTCAATACAACCTGAGTTGTTTGAAGAAATAAAGAATTGGTATTGTCAGCAACCCATCAACACATTCAGTAGCATGCAATTTAATGTTTCTGCACTATATCATGCTTTGTTGCATGAAAGCAGGGAAACTAGGATAGGATGTCTCATACGAATGAGCGAGACATTTTTGGGAGAACTGATGCAGCAGTGCAATACAGCTAATAGTGTGCAAAGCCGAGACATGCTGCAGATAGGATTAGATATCTTAAAGGACAGGTAAGAAATACTTTAAACATTTTTGTATATGAAGTTACTTAATGAAGCAATATGATTCATAAAGCTAGTCTTACAATGGTATTATTCATAGTTTTATAATTAAGGTGGTATCCAACACCTTACCTAAAATAAATTTGGTTTGTTGAGTTTTCATAAAATTTTAACAAAGTATTTATTTTGAACCTTTGATAAAAATTTCAAAATATTTGAAGCAACCATTTCTTTATAAAAATTACACTGGGTATATAACAGTTTAACAAACACTAATTTCAACCATTGAGAAGCTTATTACAATGCCCTTAAATACATATCATAATTAACATTTAGCTGATTTTACAGAGTTATCCCCCTGTAGTGTTAGGTACATCTTAATTACACAAATTATATAGAAGTTTGGTTTGAAAACAAACAAAAAAAAAACATAATACACAAATTAATCACAAATTAAGCCTGTTGGGTGGTATGGACTGTCTGGTGCTTCTTCTTAAAATGAGTGGAGGTGCTGGTAAGGGTAGGATGACTTCCTGGTGTACTGCAGGTGGTATAGGTTGGACTGCTGCTTGTTGTGGTGGTTGATGTTGAGGAGGGTTAATAAGCTGTCTTACAGGGGGATGAAGTTTCTAATAGCTGGTATTGCATTTAACAAAAGTCTATGGATACGGTTTAAAACCACTAATACACTAATCATGGTAAAGATTAGAACTTGAAATTGCTCTACAAGAAGAAAATAAAAAAAAAAATACAAATTTTATAAATTGTCACTACTTAAATTGTACCAGGCTTTATTATAGAGTTCATCTTCAGAGTTTGAAATATTTTGAGAATGTCTTTTCCTCCAAACAATAAATCCACCTATTAGAAAGAATATCACTGTAAGTAAAAAAAAAAAAGAGTTAAAAGCAGTGATATTGAAAAAAAAGAGTTAAAAGCAGTGATATTGAAATTACAATTTAAATTAATAATTATTTCTTTTATCCTAATAGTCCTTATATTTAGGGGCAGTAGGAATCTCCTGTAGAGGAAGACAATGCTCAATTAACCCTCCCCTACTATTCCTCAAACATTTCTTCCCCAAACAAATGAGAGCTATCACCAGAAGTACTACAAGAAAAGAAATAATTTAACTAGTTATGGTATCCATTTCAACATATAAAGAATCATCGTTCTTAACTGGAATGTAGTCTGATTGATAGTAATACTTTTTTAATAAGAACACCAAAATTAAGACAATTAAAAGAAACAAAATTACTCCAAGAAAAATTATATAAACTTTTAAGCTACCTGTTAAAGTGGTGACGGTTGCTACTATCCACGGTGTTGTTGAGTTCGTCTCATTTTCTGTAGTAGTCTAAAATAAAAAATTAAATAATAAACTACATGTACACAAATAAAATAACATAACCTAATCCACACCCTACTACATGTTACAATCAATACACATTTAGCTTTAGCTGAATTTAAAGCATGAGAAATTTATAAGTATAAATGTCTAAAATAGTGAAAATAAGTACTTTCAAAATTGTTTACGTTAATTTTAACAGCAGTGTTTTCATGTTTTTTAGAATACATCACCACAATGCAATGGTTATGTTAAGTAGGGATTCTCTTTGCCCTATAGGTGAAAACCCACCTGTTGATGGTCAGGGAGAGTGCTGGACATTTGGCTGTGCTCGTACACTGCTGATGTTGGAGCGCTTTGAGACCATTCTGTTGAGGAGTCAGGAGAACCCCCCTCCGTATGAGGAGAGGTCTCAACCACACCAGTAGAGGAAACAAGGTCTTCCAGTGACTGTAAACAAAAACAATAATATTTATAGACAGTTATCAAATTTAATATTTATAGTTTTTAACACAAATCTGTTTAATAGAAATACAATTAAAATTATGCTAACAAATATTTCTTTTCTTATATTGTTATACTTTCAAAAGAAAATAAAGGGAATTTGTCTTTCATAAAGTAGGTGTCAATTTTTTGTAAACAATAAAAATGGCGGATGTTGAAAACAAGTTACGTAATAGCATCTTACACAAACTTTATCCGCAATCTGCACTTCCGTGCTAGGGGTTGCTGAAATGGCCTGGCAACAATTGTCTATGGTGCATGTTTTGATGGCTACTTTTTCTAACTGCTGGCCAAAAGTCATTAATGTACTGGAACCCGCCAGTCTGTCCAGGGTAATCTTCTTCACTGAAGTCGGCCCATTGAAAATGTAGCTGCCTTCCCCCTCATACAGGCACTGCAGCTCCACTACCTCGTAGCTTTCATCAACCACACTTCTGCATTTCCTTATATTAAGGTCATGCACTTGGCCATTACATACAACAATACTCAACAACAACAAACACTTAGCGGGCACCATTTTTGATTTTTCAGTTTTTTCTCTGTGAATCGTTTGCGCATGTGCACATAATCAACAGTTTAATTAAAAATAAAAAGGCGGGAGATTATGATTGTGTCAACAAAAAAAAAAAAAGAACAATACGAAAAAGAATAAATATGAAAGAATTGAGATGTTGCTATATGATCTTCAACAATAGCATAACTCGAAAAAAAAAGGGGGGAACGGAAACATATAATAAGAAAATATTAGGTACGAGACAATGGCACTCAAAAAAAAATTTCAGAAAAAAAAATCGAACGTTTTGGGTTTTTTTTTACAATGTAGCTGCTTTAGATAAAGATTTTAAGTTAAGAAACCCAAAAATAAAGCAGATGAAATATTATCACAGTATAGTTTCTAGAGATTCATCAACACGTTGTTTTGTTGTTAAGCGCATTTTTGTTTGCGCACCACATAAACAATTTGGTATAGAGTTGTTATGCGAAACCTAAGAATGGGGTGATTATCCCTCCATTAGTCCCACCCCATACTTCAAAGTGTAATATTATTGGTTTAGATAATATTAGCTAGAAAAATGAAATAAATATAGTAGTGCGTATTTTTCGTTTACAAGTCAGTACTTCTAACCTTTGTCTAGAAATCTATTTACGATTAAGTGTTATAATGGCAGCCGAAAATGTTCAATTTAGTCAAATTATTACTTCCACTGGTAGAACGGAATACAAAACTCAATTCGGGAGAGGGAAAGTGCTTACCTATAAAAAGTCCGCTAGAGGACTCTTTTATTTAGACTTGGCTGCGTCAAATGGATCAATGAAGCTGAATTTAGGGCTAGACGAGCTGGATGATCTGTTTACACTGAGGGGGCACCTAGAGTCCCTAACTGCATACTTTCCACAGGTAAGACTATTTTCTTTCTTTTTGTTTTTACACGAGGTTCACATGTAGGAGTTTTCTTTAAAAACCGAGGAAAATTAAAGATTATACCCTTTGAGGTGTTTTTTTTTCTCTGTTTGTATGCGCTTACCGTAAACAACAGGAAGGTTTTAAGTATTGTCTATTACCGTTTATCTTTCTGTTTATCTATCTACCTCGCTTTTGTTAGGGGAGATATCGGTGTTCACATTTGCCTTTTATTTTAACTAATTTAATGCAACAATTGAATAACATAAAACGAAGATGTGGTATGATTGTTAATAAGATAACTCTTCACAAGAGACCAAATGATACAGAAATTGTCAACTTTTGGTCACCTTGCGACCATCAACAATAAGCAAAACCCATACCTCATAGTCAGCTATAAATAGCTTCAAAATGATGAATGTAAAACAAACATCCGAGGGGAGAAAAAAGATAACAACCTAATTTATGTACAAAATAATGAACGAAAAACAATATGCACACCACCAACACCTCTCGCAAGTATAAAACTTTCTTCATAACATTTGAGTTTGAGTTTTATTTTATTTTTCATGTTTTAGCCGCTCTCCCAGCCACAGGAGCAGGTTGTACTTAAAGAAAATGTAGCGCCGGTTTATGCACCGCCACCACCACCAACACCTTCCGTAAGTATACATTTATTAATGTAGAGTTTAAATATGTTCAAGAATCATGATTGATTGTTGGTTGCTTAACGTCCAGTGGCAAATATTTCATACATGTTCAGGGTGAGAACAAGTTAACAATACATACAATAGGTAAGTCTTGCAATAGAGGGTGGGTTTTTTTTTCTTCTTCTCAAGAATCACCATGTATTCTGAACTTGTTCTCACCCTGAACATGTATGAAATATTTGCCACTGGACGTTAAGCAACCACCACCAACACCTTCCGTAAGTATACATTTATTAATGTAGAGTTTAAATATGTTCAAGAATCATGATTGATTGTTGGTTGGTTAACGTCCAGTGGCAAATATTTCATACATGCTCAGGGTGAGAACAAGTTAACAATACATACAATAGGTAAGTCTTGCAATAGAGGGTGGGTTTTTTTTTGTTCTTCTCAAGAATCACCATGTATTCTTAACTTGATACACTTAAATGCGAACAAAGCAATACTTGTTTTTTAAGTATAGAATTGAACTTGCAAACAACCTTTTGTCCTTAAAAAAAAAAAGATAAGCAACACTGAAAGTATTTCATTTCTCTCTGGTTTATTTATTTAAATATTTCATTTTTATTATTGCAGGCACCTCTAACAATAATATATGAAAACGAGACGTCAACTACCACTCCACTTCAAACTATAACAGACCCGATGTGGAGCAAAGGAAATATGATTCCGGTGAGGATGGCCGCAAAGAGACCGATACGTGAAGAATTAAACCCACAGTGGTCTGGGAAGAATACAAAATATGAACAGATTTCCCCTGTGCAAAACAATTTATATGATCTCTCTGAGGAGGAAATGGGAGCCTTTTTCCAATCGATGTGATGATGCTCAATGTGGTGTGACTTTCATTCAATGTGGTGTTTATAGGAATAACATTTATAAATTTCATTACGGACATATATGCAAACAGACTGACACGGTTAGTTTTTTTTTTAAATATTTAATAAATACTATCACTAATATGTGTCTATCTTATAATGTCCATAGGCATAGCTTTCAATTGGGTTCTTCCAGTAACGTTTATCATCAAAACTACACAGTCCTTTTTTCACAACGGTATCCATGAAAAGTTCATGATTTTTACTTCTAATGCACGTCATTGAATTGGTGGTCGTAGTTTCTTCATTCAAACATGTCTTATACATTTCATGTCGGAGAGTCTGTTTTATTTCAGTTTTTGAAATGCCTTTCGCCACTTTTTTTTCCTTTTCGCATGTGATACCTTCTGTAGAGGTCTGGTTATACAAAAGGCTGTACATTTTAGGTCTCAAGCCAACGAATTCTTTTAAAGGAACACCTGAAAAGATTTTTTGAGGCACATGAGAAAGACAATATTTAATAATAATTTAACAGAAAATTCACATGAAAAAGGAAAATTTAACATAAATTTCACAAGAAAAAGGAAAATTTAACAGAAAATTCTAAAGAAAAAGGAAAATTTAACAGAAAATTCTAAAGAAAAAGGAAAATTTTACAGAAAATTCTAAAGAAAAAGGAAAATTTTACAGAAAATTCAAAAGAAAAAGGAAAATTTTACAGAAAATTCAAAAGAAAAAGGAAAATTTTACAGAAAATTCACAAGAAAAAGGAAAATTTGAAAGAAAATTTATGTTAAACTTTAGAGAGAGAAAAATAAAATGTTTGTTTGAAAGAACTCACCACCAAGCTCATCTTTAAATTTCCCAACGACTTTCTTATATTTGCTGGAAAAGAGATGTTTCGTTTTGTTGAATGAGCCGTAGTTGGAGGTATCGAATAGGTCTTTGATAGGTTTCATGTCTTCATATACATCATCAGTCAGAATCTCATAACACAACGAATCTAAAATGAATTCAGAAATGTTAGCACAATACCAAAGAGGAATCTCTTCCTTTATTCTACTTATACAAAGGAGAAAACAATGAGAAATATTAGAAATTTAAAGAAACAATGGCTTTTATTTTAACAAACAAACAAACAAAAAAATATCATACCTGTATCTGTAAACAGCAAGTTGATCTTGTCACCGTACTGAGGCTTCATCACCTTGTAATGGAATTCATACATCAGTCTCTTTGAAAGGTCTAAAATAGCTTGTCCGGCATAGATGGGTTTATTGAGAGTTAGGTTGATCTGTTGGTTGTGTACTCCAACGAGGTCTTCATTGAAAATTTGGCAGCATAGAAACGACGGCTGAGCTACTAACTTTTTTAGTTTTTCTTCCGAGGCTGAATTGATTAGTCTTAGATTCATCCTAGCACGCAAATTTTCCATACATTTACCAAAAACACTGAAAAAGTAGGAATACTTTTAGATAAGTACTAGAAGCTGACACAAAAACCACAAAACATAATTAAATCAATGTGGGTAATGCGACAATGAGACAACAAGCAAACTCGAGATCTTGACAACACTTTAAAATCTTACACATTTAAAAATAACATAGATATAGGAAGATGTGGTGTGAGTGCCAATGAGACAACTCTCCATTCAAATAACAATTTAAAAAAAAAAGTAAACCATAATAGGCTAATGTACGGCCTTCAACACGGAGCCTTGGCTCACACCGAACAACAAGCTATAAAGAGCCCCAAAAGTGTAAAACCATTCAAACGAGAAAACCAACGGTCTAATCTATATAAAAAAAAAAAAAAACGAGAAACATACCTATTACACATCAGTTTGAAAAAGTCCTTCTCAAAGTCGTTGTTTGCCTGTTTTCTCATGTTGGTGTTGAATTCTATGTAGGTTTTAAGCCATGCCTTTTGTTGAAATCCTAATACTCTATGTATTTTAGTTATTTTCATTCCAAGTTCTGTATAAAGTTGTAAATTTTGATAATGCACCACATAGTTTGTCTTTTTCTTCAGAGTTGGAATTAATTTTCGGGTTTTAATCCTAGGTTTCACTTTTTCCACACCATTTGCATTCTTCACAGAATTTAACTTTCCCCATAAATCAGTACTGTATTTCGATAGATCTTTGTCTTCAATGAGTAGATGTTCGGGTGCCAGAGGATAATCGTTATGTTTGTTGTGGAGATGTTCAGGATATTCTATGTCTACTTCTAAAATGTAGCCTTCTTTTGCGTCTGACTCGACTTTCTGTAACTCAAAATGACTAATTTCATCTTCATTTAAAAAATGGAAAAAACCAGAAGGCAATGGTTGAGACATTGCCCAACCGTACAAATTGTTAGCATCTAGATACATGATGTGTTTTTTCACATCTGATTCATTAAAGTCGTCAACATATTGATGATTAGCTCGACTGTATTTTTTGGTAACCATACTGACCCCACCTCGTGTTCCAAGCTCTATCATGTTGTACATGAGGGGATCAGTTATTAAATCCAGGCAGACACCGCTCATTTTCAATGCTGCTTGCCATGCTAAACCTGGACTCGTGAAAAAGTGACTAGCATCCAACTTGTAATATTTAAGAGTCATGTCACGGAATCGTTCGAAAACATCTGCTAAGAGTAGCGTATCTGTTAATACATACAAATTGTGAAAATCCCCTAAGGTTTTCATATTGAACGTGTTCCAGACCTTTTGAGCGTGTTCATACTTTTCATCAGAAATAGCTTCTTTGGTTAAGGAATTATAAAAAGCTGCTTTTGAAGGGAGAGCTGTCTCTTCAAATCTTTCAGAACAATTCACATAATCATAACAGTATTCGTTTTTCTGTAGCAAAAGTTTAGCGTGTTCGTCATTGGGGAAAGCTTTTCGAAATTGTTTGAAATTTTTAAAACCGTCTGCCGCTAAATTAGCAATTAACGTCTCCAAAGAGCTACTCATGCACTGGTATGTGTCTAAAAACCTCAGTTGTCCAACAGAAAAGGACACATATTTCTCCATATTGTTTGGTATACATGTTAATTTTTTGTCCTTGAATTTACCAGCTTCCGACAGCAAAAGGTGTGCATCAAAGTTCCGCAAATTATGAAAATAGACCGGAATGAAATTTGGATTTTTCAACATCAAGTTGCATCTCTGACAGGCTGCCCCTCTGTAATTGCTATACTTTGGTGATTCGTTATCTTCGTTTATACCTAAATGGTCGTGGTCACGAACTTTGATTATTTTGCCTGAAAATGGTTGATTGCATACATAACAGTTTGTAGCATTTTGAAATTGCGTTTCGGTTTCCACACTCATAATTAACTCCTCATAAATGTTCCTCAATATATCATCTATGTATTCTTCCTCTGTAAATATATTTTCAAAAAAGTGTTCGACTGCGTTCTCTCCTCTGTATACAACGGCTGGCTTGGAATATCTATCATTTGAACTGACCACAACGTAGGAGTAACCACATGGAACAAATTTTGTTTTATGTGTTGTTGACGATTGATTTGGGTCTGGTTGACAAGTATCCATCTTTTTTGCAAAGCATTCAAAGTCTGCATAGATGACAAAAGGAACACGCATTTGTTTATGAAAGTCTCTAAATTCTAAAATGGCTTCTCCTTCTTTTGGATAAGTCACTTTTTGAAAATCAAACTTATTACAATATAGTCTGTGTTCATTTAATAAGTCTTGTCTTATGAATCCGTGAAGACATCTTCTACAGTAAAACCGTTTGGTGTGAAATTTAGTCATTGATCCAAGGAAACGATCTAAATTTTTGATCCAACAGTAGTGAGTTTCCCCGTTCTGTGATAAATACAATAAATCGATCTCCCTATCTACATTTTCTAACTTTGTTAAATATAGTGGGAACACTTCTTCGTTTTCAAAGCCAAAAACATTGATTGAAATATTGTTTTGTTTCTCAAATTTCTCCATTTTTGTTAAAGACACAGGATATTCAATATCGTTCATGTTCAATTCATTTTCGTGTGCCGTATAATGTGACTTCCGATATGGATTATATTCCATCGGATGTAGGGCTGCCAGTACAGACCATAGGAAACACTTTTGGTCATCATTTCTAATGTTGATAATTCCACCAGTGGCCTTAATTTTGTATGGTAATTCCATATAATTTGAACCAGCTATGGGTGAGTATGGTAAAGTATGTACTTCGAGGCATATAACTTTATTCAATATCCAGTTAGATCCCTTGTTGATAAATTCTTCCATTACTCTGTTAATCGTTTGGAAAGCTTCATTTAAATTATGATCATTACTCTCATTCTGAAGAGATATGTAACTTTTGCTGCGGAAATGTGGGTGTGCCTTTTCTTGTTGTCCATCATCAATATCTCGAACCATCTTCACTCGAGCATTTACATACCATTTGACATTTTTTTGTTTCTTTTGCTGAGATACTATTATTTCTTCAACATCAGTTTTCGTATTAGCCAAAAAACGTAATAAATCATATTTTTCATCACCAATAGGCATAAGGTCTACACGATTCACTGATTTGTTAATGGCGCTTTTCTTAAAACGAAACCGTTTACGTTTTATCTGACTGACAACTGGCTCCTCCGTTTTAGGCATTCTACCTCCTGTTTGGTTTAACGGATGATGGTTGGCAACATGGGTGAATAAAGAATCAACATCATCAAAGGAGACATCACAGTGTCTACATGTAAGTTGCTTAGATAATTGTTTATCTCGTTTGTTTATTGTGCGCTGTCCAGAACACTTATTACCATGTTTGACTAAATTATGTTTTTGCGTAAACGATTTCCCACACGCTAAACACTGAATTCTGTTAAAATGTGAATTCATATGTCTGTTCAAATTTCTGTTGTATTTGAAAGTTTTATCACAAATATCACAATTTAACTTTGGTCTTTTGACATCAACATTTTCAGCACATGATTTCTTACGTTTGAGTTTATTCTCAACCTCTATGGCTGCCTTCACCAACATACCATCATCAGATTCGTTAAAATGTAAATCATTGGTATGAACACCGCGGTGAGCCATGCTTTTCACTTTACACAAAATGATAACAGCTACCTAATTTCCTCAATTTAAATACACGTGACGATGTCACATGACATCTAAATTCGAAACGATAACCATTTCATCTTTGGTTTTTGTTTACTTTTCTCTTGCAGCATTGTTTTAAGGGACATAGCGATATATGGTTTACTTTCCTCGTGTTGTGTAATTTTTCTCTTTTTGTTTGACTTCTTCAATTTTTCAGGTTGAAAGTCCTCTACTAACTGTTTACTTTCCAAGTCATCGATATTTTCTGGTTTATCTTTCGGCTGATCTTGATCTCGATTTTCTCTTTTTTCCGGCAATGTCTCTGGATTTTTTAATTGTTCATACCTCAGTTTAGGAATCAGAATCAGTTCGCGAGACATAACGGAGATATGTCTTTAGGAAACTAGGAAGCAGTCCTCTTATTTTTAATAAATATAATTTTCTCTGTTTATATGCTGCTCCTTTGGAAACAATTTTACGTATGAGCTTCTTTTTCTTGGTCAGCAAAGTTTTATCAACACTTGAAATGGGGCAAACTCCTTGCATCACATTGTATATTATTTCAACCAACCATTCCAACTGTTCCTTGCTTAGTGATTTAATCGCTTGAGAAATTTGTTTTGCAGTAGCATTCAAAAGAAAATGTGCTAAATAGTCCTTCATTCTGCAGAGTGATATACGATAGGTGTCTGTCCAACTCCACGATCTGTTGTCAACTGATATGTTTTGTCTGTATGTGGATTTAAATCAATAATTAATGGGCGATAGGCTACAGATGTCGCCTTCTTGTATGCATCTAAAAAGTATTTAGACTGTCCGGGAAAAATCTGCCTACCAAGAGTTTGAATTTGTAACTGATCTCTATAATTCCGAAATAAAACAAAGTAATGGCAATTGAGGGAGGCTGTTCTCATGGCTTTACCTTTACAATACAAGTTATGTAGAATCTGAATCAAAGTGATTGAATTATGGTGAATTCCTACAGTTAAGAGATGAACCAGTTCTTTACTATCTGCAGATTCCACCATCAGGTCATCTAAAACAAGAACCTTATGCCCTTGTAAAGTCCCCCATTCTGATAAAACATCCATATGGGGGAAACCTTGAAAAAATTCAATGTTTGGTATTGCTGATTTCATTTCATCGAAAACTGACTGCCAAATACTGTAACAGTAAAATATCTTCGACGGTGGTACTTGAAACATACCATCTGCATTTTCAAGAAGGTTTTTGGTATACATTGTTTTTCCTGAATTTGACGGACCAACAATGAATATTGATGTTGGACTCTGAAATTTGAGCAAACTTTCCTTCTCCCACCAGTCAACCATACTGTTCAAGTGAAATAATAAAAATAGCTGAGAGACAAACTGTTTTATATGTAAAAAAAAAGAGAGGCAACAACAACACCAACAATAACATATAAGCATTAATTTTTTATTTTGATACAAGATTGATTCACAACATTACACACATTGTTCACACAGCAATGAAACCGATTGTCTATAAAACTGTACACAAAATTGTCATTCAATTGATAGTCTTCTGAAAACACATCTGTTATCTGTTGCATGGTAAATCCTCTCACACGACACATTAAATAAAACAAACAATATTGTCCACACACAACTGTGTCATCACCTTGTAGTCTTTTCTCGTTTGATTGTATGTATGCATAATTCCGCATGAATTTGTTAAAATAAACAGTGAGTTCTTTTTCTGAATACCCAAAAGAGTCAAATACTTCAAGACTGTTCTTTCTATTACAGAAAAATGCTACCCAATGTCTTCCTGGTAAGCCTGCGACATCTGTATTGGCTATCACACCCATTCCTGGTAGTAGGTGAACTTGAGACAGTTCATCAGATGAGAATACACCAAGAACAGATCGTTGTAAGTCAACGTCTGAAACAATGGCACACTTGAGCTGGTAAGTATTCATTCTAAAATGATGTTTCTTTCTAAATTTATTTCAAAATAAGCTGGAAACTCTGCATACACAACACACGTGGACGCTTTCGGCAGTGGTGCATTGAAATTGACTTCTAGAGAACAAGTTCCTTGTTTCACTAAGTTTAAGTACTGTCCCTCGTCGCTGAAATTTGGTTCTATTTCAAAACAATATAAAGCATTTCCTCCTACTATATCATTTCTACTCAACTGATTTCCACTGTCTCTCATCCACTTGTTAGTCACTTCAAACATACTATTAAAAGCAGGTAGTATAGTTCGACTCGTGGCTCCATAGTTTAACTGCATAATATTCCCACCTACAGGAACTTGGTTCAGTTTGAGCGTTATTTGACTAAGGTTGAAATGTTGAAAGTTGAATGGATATAACGTATATGAACCACTAGAACTAGCGGACTCTGTAAAAGCTATAACGCAACGAGTCGGTCGGAGCCCGTTGAACAAATTATTGTAATTGAAACTAAGACTCCCAGCAGGTATAGAAATAAGGCGCACTTCTGTTCTGGTATAGGGATATCTAGCATTTGTTGTTTGTAGTTTCTGCGCATGTGCCATAATGACAGCAGGGTTTAAACGTATTTTGCACACTTTTAACACTATGTCATCGATGATGACTTGAAAATTTGGATCTTTTTCACTTGTCATCAAAGCAAACTCAGGTCTTGAACGGTAAAGTTTAACATTAATAGCTACTTGATTCAGCATGTATCTGTCCAGACTACATAAATCATGAAATAACGGACCTTCTAAATCACACACTTGACTTTGAGTAAAATACTGTGCGCGATCGAATAAGGAAGAATTGCCACCATTTTCTACATCACTATCATCAAAATGTCCTGGTTGATCTTTTTTCCATAACTGGCTAGTCAGCTGAGATTTTTTTGCTTCAGATCCAAAAGATAAAAGAGTTTGTATCATTGCCTTGTATGGATAATGTGTGGTAGTTGATGTCACCAACTTATTTTGTAATGTTATATCAATCTGTGAGAACATAGAATGTAGAAAATTGTTAACTGGACCAACATACTCAGTAGGTTTTAGACTGTCTCCATTGATATGTTTTATTCTCGCTTTTACATATAATTTTGTTTTTCTCAAATCTATATACTCCAGTGAATTTTGGGCTGCAATGTTAAATTCTACTGGCGCAGTTCCAGTTAGCTGTGCTGTTGACCTATGCTCATCATAATACACTGAATCAATCGCTGTCTGTGTTGGTGGTAATGAAAACAGATCCAAACCACTTGGCTGAGCTTCTTGGAACCCATCTAACGATAAAGCAGCCATTTACTTGAATATGTCTTTGAAGGTTTTCACAGAGCTTTGCAGTTTTTTCTTGTTGGTTTTTTTCTTCGTATGTCTCTTCTTGTTTGATGCTTTGGTTGTCTTTCTTGACTTTTTGTGCTTAGTCAACTTTTTGGTGGTTTTACTGGGCTTTTTGGAGGTCTCGTTCGTTCGACGTCTTTTGGAAGAATTGGCATCATAACTAGATGGCTTTCTTTTTAATGTCTTTTTCTCTCTTTCAACCATGTCCTTGGCCATTTCATCCGTTTGATGGACGGGGGAGACAAGTTGAATTTTTACTTTCTCACCAGAAGGAGTTTTGGTTGGTATGCCGATTGGTGTAATGGATGACCTTGAGGTTCCAGTTAGAGACCCACCTCCGATTTGTTTTTGACCTTTGTTAGTATTGTGATGACCTTTTCTGTCTAGCTTCTCATAATAATTAATCCAGCTTCCTACATTTGGCACATACATCTTGTTCATTTTTAAAAGAATGGAAACGATTTGAAGTGTAGTGTTACCGTTGCAGGAATATCTAAAAATGAAGCTAGATTGTTGTCACCATCATTTATATAGATATCAATATTATAGAGGTCATTTATTTTTACAGGAACATAATGCGGAACTTCGAAAATGTTTGACCAGTTTCCCATAGAGGCTGCACTTAACCTTCGAAGAAGTGGCTTTTGTTCTCCATCGACAATAGATTCACCACAAATATTAGAATACAGGTAAATGGATTCTGATTTAGATATGCTACTTGAAATGTCTGCTTCAACTAAGGCAACTCTCCAATTTCCATTCAAAAACACAGGTGAATTCAGTTGAGAAGAAAAAGTATATGCTTTGTTGTTTGGAAAATAGTTCAGAGATTTTTCACTATTGAATGTTATGTAGATGCTCATCTTCAGGAGTCATTTGGATCTGTGATATCCTCTTCATTCAACCACTGATTATATTTATTTGGCCACCCTTCAAACTTAACTAACCACTGAACCCGTCCATTTCTCTTACGTTTTCGAATTTTTTTTTCTACATACCACATAACATCTTCATCCTTGTTCACTTTAACCATCTCTGATTCATAAAATAATCCTTTTATGGAAGTTCCATCATACTCCTTTATTCTATAAACCGGTATAGCCTGCATTCGAAATCTTTGGCTAACTTTAAAAATTTCTCTTGTGAAATGTTCATCATATGAACGGTCAAATAGCATAGAAATGTAAGAAATACGAACGAAGTCATTAGCCTTAAAGTGGTATGATCGAGGCTTTTTTGATGTTATTTTCTTTGGTTTTAAATACATATATGCCCATATATCTGCTTCGTTTGTTTTGCTGACGTCTTTTGGTTGGATATTGTTCAAGCTTCTATGTGGAGTAGAATTGTATACTTTAACAATATCTTGAAGTACATCCAAGTACCTATGATTTCTCCTCTCTGTGAAGTATCGATACATCATATTTTTCACAGTCTTGATAACTCTTTCAGCGTAGTTAGCCTTTGTTTCTGAATTCTGTGTGGTGAAATATTGTATACCTTCATTTTTCAGATATGATTTCATTATGTTGTTGTTAAATTCTTTTCCTTTATCAGTTCGAATCTTTTTACATTTTCTGTTACCAGCTAAAATTTTCTTCATTGCCTCGACTACAACTTTTGCTGATTTATTTTTCAGAACCTGAATCCACAGATACTTTGAAAAGATATCCACGACGACTAATAGGTATCGAAACTGACCGTTTTCACTTGCAATGTTTGACATATCAGCGAGGTCCATGTCCCACTGATCATCAATTCCAGATACAATTACACGTGCACGACGAAAAGAATGACGGAGTTCCTTTCTTAAAGTGTAACTGTCTTGACTTCGTAATAGTCTTTTTATCCTGGATCGTCCAACATTAGTGATTCCTTTGGATTTTAATATTCTGTATATTTTTTCGGGACCTACATGTGTGTTTTTATATGTGTTTGATATTAAATCATTTATTCTATCTTGTGTGTTCATCTTGGATTTTTTTTCATTCTATGAAAGGTAAGACCTGTTCCCTTTGTATTTAAGGCTGATAGTCTTGGTTTGGTATCTCTACTGAAGTAAAGTTTTGAAAGCGAGAAGGAATTTAAATTTTACTGACACTTTCTTCAATTGAGATACCTAACCAATATGCACTTTGTGAAAATATAATAAAGAGACAAAAAACAAAATACAAGTAACTAACTTTTATTGAAATATCATTAGAAACAGTTCAAGCATCTCATTGTTCGTCTAGTAAATGCAACAGAGGCTTAATCAGGAGTGGTATTAATTTGTGATACACTAACAGTACTCGTCTTTTCCTGCTTACACTAATTCTCCCACTGGCTAAAAACTTAATAGTGTTCCGAAACTCTCGAAGTTTTCGTCTATGTACTATACTAATCATAAGTGTTGCATGATAAATTTTATATGCAATGTGTGAAATGGTTCGAATTTGATCATCGGAACTCTCCTCAATCAATTCTTTTCTTCTTAGGGGTCTATCATAGTAAAGTTCTTTCAGGAAGGTTGAGTTTTCAAAAATACGTCTGTTCATGATGAGTGTTTCACATCAAATGATAACCAATGTTAATGATCGGTGTGTTTTAAATTAATTTAATTCGTTTGTGAATCTTTCTTCCAACAACACCAATCGTTTGCACCAGTGTGACACATTTTTGGTACTTGGTTTATGTAGAATGCACCAATCCTTTAATGTAGATAAAACGTCATTTTTATAGTCATCTGGTACATCCATGAGCTTCACTTGATTGGACATCTTCCTAACCATGTCCTTCTCCGCTATCTGTTTATAAGCAATATCGAAATAAGTTTCTAAATGTTCCATTTTTGTCCACATTAAACAAGTGTGTTGAATCTGACTCGGGTGGTTTACTTCACACCCATAACAATGTTCTTTCACAATATCCGGTAAACAGTCTAAGACCATCCTAGCATACAAATATTTAAGTGTGTGATGCATAAGTTTCTCGGCTTTTTCAAATGTTGCATCCATAGTGTCTTCTCTCTACAACAATCAATCTGTAAATGAACGGAATTCGAGGATCTTCTTATAGTGTATCTCAGTCATTACGTAACATTCTTATTTCATAAGTATGTTGGACAAGGTTTTACTAGATACCATCTTTGCAAACAAACAATTTGGATCCCATTTTATATGTTCTGTTTCGATATCGTCTTCTTTAGTCCACTTTTTTAGAGTAATGTCACAATAAAAACATGTCACTCTATCTCCTATATCGGTGTAAAAAAAACCATTATGAGCTAGATCTTCTGGCTTTTGTTTAATCTGTTCCGGCCAATTTGTATATGTTTGCATTCTATTTGTGAAATACATCATATTCAGATGGGCTGGTTTGAAACGGAGGATGTCTGAAAAGTAACATCCCGAGTCTGTTTCTAAATCCATGATTAATCAGTAAAGACTAACATTTACTTACATACCACCACCACCTGAAGTCTCTACAATTTGTATAATTAAATCGTACTTCCAGTCTTCAACCTTTAATTCAACAATGTCATAAAGCTGCTTTAATTCTATGAATCTACTCAAACCATACTTAAATAATAAGATATATATCTGCACCTTTTTTGTTGATAACAAAACCTGGTAATGTAACCTCAGAATTTTCGTTTTAAAATTATTACCAACATATATCGTCAAAAATAAATATAGTAACGTAAAAAAAAAAATGGATGCCGCTCACTTAAATAACAATTTAGACAAGCAAGGCAACCCAAAATTCTACAACGTGGAAACAAAAATGGACGACAAACGTACCCTGGTTACCAACCAATGTTGCTCTACCTTGAAAAAGTCAGCAACGTGGAAACAAAAATGGACGACAAACATACCCCTGGTTACCGACCAATGTTGCTCTACCTTGCAACGTGGAAACAAAATGGACGACAAACATAACCTGGTTACCAACCAATGTTGCTCTACCTTGGTCAAAAGTATCACACGTGGACACAAACATTCCACCATCACTAGCACAATATTTACATAAGCTGCTCTACCTGCTCTACTGTTTTCTTATCCCTATTCTACTACTACTACTCTGATTCAGCTTAAATTGTAATCTTAAGTGTAAGGTGTCGTTACTGCATGTTCAAACTAATGGGGAAAATACAAAAGAGTGAAGACAGACTAGTGTGGACAGTATTTAGCTTTATGAGATTATTGCTTTAAACTTTTGAGTCATTCTTAAACGTTAAGCAACCAACAATCAGTACAATGAATACAATAAATTTTGTAATGACAATGAAATAATAAAAAGACAGTAGACGACTCAGCCCTGAACAACTCTATAGTGGAATGATCAATTTACACGATTATTAAAACATTCAAATCGAACGGTGGTTTGCTTCCGCTGCATTATAACCAAGGAATAAGTGACAACTATTTCAGGATTCTCTTTTCTCATATAAGTATCCATATCATTCATATGCTTTTTTCTCATCATTGTAATTTATAAAATCAATATTCCTATTTACAATTTGTTAAAGCGTGAATCACTGACAGATTGTGTTTGCATGGTAAGTGATTCTTTAAGTTTATACAAGAACATTTTGCTTTTTTCAGATTGACACTTTATCTATATCAACACCCTGGACATTAAATTCCCAATTTCCATCAGCAGAAAGGTTTTCCAATGGGATTTGTTTAATGGATGGAGGCAATCTTGTAAGGCAGTGGATTACGAATTGTGCAGGACGGTTGTGCTATAATTTTGGAATAAAATCTGCATAGGTCCTGTTGCCTTCCAGACTTCTTACATTGTTTTCTATACAGAAAGTGAAATAATAAGATAAAATTACAGGTAATGTTGAACATTATATTGTAATTAACAGATATTTGCTTCAAAATATGAAATGTCCTGTCAATTTACTAATTAAAAAAATATATAATAAAACTTGCTGTGTAAAATCCACCCCTGTTCCTTGGGTATGGAGTTTTTAAAACATTCTTTAACCATTTCCCTTAAAACATGGCATATGAATCACAGTAGACGACTCAGCCCTGGACAACTATCCTAAAAAGAAACTGTTTGAATCACCAATCTTTCAACAAAGCAAAACAAACGGACATAATTGTCAAAAATACGGATACAGCCGTCAACATTGTGTTATAATCTTACATCACTATAAAAACAAACAAATATGTAACAAAGCACATTAGCAAAAGTGAAAGACAAGAATACAAAACTTTACATTAGCACGGGATGTATAAGAACAGAGCCACGTCATATGTATCGAAGAAACTGAAAGGCATATAGACAATGCACATTAGCTAAAATGAAAGACAAGAATACAAACATTGTCATGGAACAAAAACATAATGACGAGATGTATAAGTACAGAGCCACGTCATATGTATCAAAGAAACACTAAAAGGCATACTTACTTGTTAATTTGACCTGTTGATACTATTGTAATGTTTTTTTTTGTTATTTAATGTTTACTTATTCAGGGTTATATCTGGTCTATATACCACCTTTGATAAGTGTTTCGTATTACTATGAATGTTCACTTCTTCGTACTATGAACATCAAAATTATTTATTTTATAAAAATATTTCCTTTCTACATTGAAACTGTATACCTAACAACAAAATTATTTTCATTTACCTGTATAGGTAAACGGACAGAAAGTCACAGGACATAAAGTCACAAATTTGATAAGACAAAAAGTTACAAATAATTTGTTGATAATTGTTTGAATATATAGTGGAATCTTACAAGTTCACCACGGTTCCTATCATATATAAGATAGTGGATTCAACAAACCATAAGAGGTTTGATAAAGGGGTGAAAGGAATCAAGTGAACTATAATTAATACGATCAATTAACTCGTTCTTAGATATCTATCAACCAAATAAACGTTTTAATTGTCTCGCATTTGTGTTACATTCCCTGATCGCAACTGTTTCCATACACTCTGCCTTTACATGTAACAATATACATGTATTGCATGCGTAATTCAGTTCCGAAAAGAAAATACAAAGTACTGCATGCGTCATTTCAAGACTAGCATTTCTAAAGGTTCAAATAAGTTAAGGTGTAACTGTATTTTAATTCAAATGCTCATGGTTGACAATACAACCAATCATGTTTTGAAAACATAAAACCTGTTTCGGTATTCGAAAACAAAAAGACTGTGTAGCAACCTGACTTACAAAAATGATCCCCAGGTACATAATCGGTTTGAAATGTAATCGCTTATTTATAGCAATTTTACCATATATTAAAAACAAGTACTAGTATTTTTAATTATATCAACTACAACACCAAACGAGTAGACCAAATACTAGCTATATTGTTATCCACAGAATATATCATTTTCATATCCCGTAATATCCGAACACTGCTAAAAACGGTAAGAAAAAACAGGTACAATGACCTTCTGTTGCAAAACCAGACTAGCCTAACCTAAATTTTGACATGAACCACATCTTTATCATCATAAGTGCATATCTCGAGTACCTTTGTTATACTGCATCATCCCTAATATGACTCCACAGAAAGCAAGGAATATGGTTAATATTCAATAAGACAACTAACTACCTTAGTTCCAATTTTGTTTCGTCGCTTGTTTTGGTTTTTTACCTTTTTTTGTGTTTTTGTATTTCATGTACGTATTTTTTAAAGCATAATGACCGCTCAATCAACAACGCTTGTGCATTCGATCCACATAGCGATCATGCTCTACTTATGACCTCCAATCGAGTGACGATTAGACTAAGAGTGACCGTGCTATCTTATACATTCGGGGTACCGAAGGGGGAACTTGGAATAGTGGAATATAACAAGTTCACCACGGTTCCTCTTATATATAAGATAGTGGATTAAAAAAACCAACGATGTACAAACGGGTCTCAGTGAAATAATATGACATAACCGACTGACTAAATACAAAACCTTATTTAATGTTCCAACTTCATTATTATACAACTA